ATTTTTCAACTTTCAAACTTCATTGTGAAGAATAGAAGAAAAATTAATTTACAAAATTTAGTTGAATGAGATTGTAAGTCATCCAACTGAGCAAACATCCTTTTTAAATCCATTTCTTCTATTTATTGTTTCCTTTCAACTTGTATTTTTTTTTCTAGAGCAAGCGAGAGATAAAAATAGAAAGAGGCAAGACTTACCCTTTAAGATAAGCATCTACGGTGAGGTACTTTTGCTTGACTAAGTCGTGCAGTAAGTGGCCCGTGTGCCGCCGCGCCTGCACTGATCGTTCTAGCACGTGATTCAGGGCGGTGGAAACAAAATGATGCATCATTCCTGGTGAGTTCAGTTCTGACACACATAATATGGCCTCCTGGCATGGGGAGAAGAAATCATTGTATTAGCCATTCATTTTCTGTACATAGAATTGATTATTGCAAACAAACTTTCGATAATTTTTCCCCCTTGTTTTTTTTATATTTTACTTAACAATGACTTTTTTCCTTGGGTTTCACTTTAATATGTAAACAAACTTCATACTCAACATTTTTTCTCAATTACACAACACTCTTACTGAGGTCTACTAAGACCCATTCCCAGAGATAAAATCGATCCAACTAGATCGACCTAACTCCCTGGGGGTTCACGCTAAATAGCTGTCAGCCGAGCGGGCACGAAAGTAAATTACCCCCTTACAGCTTGTACTAGGCAGGATGGGCATTTAAGCCGGATTATCTGACAGTAATCTAGTGAGACTCCCCATGGGGATAGATCAATCTAAAATCTATGGGAATGCGCCCTTAAATATCTTGTGAAAATACCAGTCACTTTCAACAAGATCAACCACTATTCATATTTCATTCCCCATCCCTCCCCAACCCCATTCTGCTCTCCTCCCCCTTACTTTTATGTCCTGTAGATGCAGGAATTCATCAATTATGGCTTTTGTTTTCCTCTCCATGTCAGCCTTGGATAACTCCTGGGCTAGTGGTGACGGGGCTTTCTCTACAGGTGAAGGACGGGACTCCGTCATCCTGGTTTTGCTGTTTTCTCGGCTGTTGCCGCGACTACTGCCCTCCAAGCTGCTGTCCCTGGAGGCTGGTCTGGCAAGATGTCTGCAACAATAACCCAGGAGACGTGCGTTACAGTTTTTTTTTTTTTTTTTGGAAAAATCATCTGTTGGTTTGTTCAAGTAAGACCCTAACACTTATGTGAAACAATTTTTTCTGAGATTTGCAAAAATAAAAAGATCGATTGTCAATTCTGATTCTTTCATTTCTCCAAAAAATATCTAATAGGTGAATAAATATTTCACTCTGATTACTTCAGCACAGCAGGACTTCTTACCTAGCAGCATTGAGAGCACCCTCTCTACTTTCTTTCTCTTCTTCCCGTGACATTCTCCCCATGTGACGACCAGGCCGCATCATCTGCCCGCGTCCCTTGGCGTCACGCGCCGCCAGACCTCGAGCGGCACCTCTTCCCAACCCTCTTTGATCCAGACCATCCGTGGACCCGGAGAGAGCGGCGTATCTGTTGCTCGGGGTGGAAGGACGCTCGTTCTCCTGGGATGCCTTGGCCCCCGCGCCACCTCCGCTGCTTCCCCTTCCCCAGCTGCCGAACCCGGGCCGTCCACCCGGACCTAACTGGATATTGTCATCTACTGGTTGCTGGAAAATGCGATTTAAAAGTTGTACATTGCGAATAAAGAAGTTTTACAGTGAACTTCTATAGAGATTGATCATTTTATCATGTTATACACATATAAGGTCTTCTTTTTAAAAAGACTTCTATTTAAACATATAATTGTCCAACTGTTTTCATAAAACAACCAAGGCATTTTTTTTTTAGGTCCTCTGATATCAACGGGGATTTGTCAACACTGGCATACTGAGATATATGAGAATACTTCCCCTAGTGCTTCATTCCTTCTCTCCAACTTATTGTTATTATTATTATTATTATTATCTGTAAAACAGGACTCGTAAATCATTTCAGCACTGTGTGTGTATGGGGACCATATGTGACAACTGTGTGAAGATCACAGTATATCCGTGGTACAGACCTCATTGGGTGATAATGTACGCAAGTTTGAAGAGTGATAACACCCAAGTTATAACCCATGGTGACTTGCTGAAAGCCAAAACTGAGGGTGTGAGGGGTCAAAAATCAGAATAAGCCTTAAAATTGGTCTTGACTTTCAGACACAAAATTTTTGTCCCAAGCAGTTCCAGGTAAATCCTTAACAGTCCAGAAACCTTAATTTTGGATGGGCCTTTTTCTACAGACCATGCAGTCTGCTTGCATGTGTATGAGAGAAAACATGGGTATGCGCTTGCATGCGTGTGCCTGCCGATGCGTGAGTACCTTAGAGATCTTCATCTTGGATGGGTCAATCCTGCTGGCCTTAGCACTGCCCACTGTACTCCAGCCGCTCTCGTCCTGACGCTGGGGCTGGTTGCCTGGAAACACAACTATACATGTCAGCAAAACTCCAAATACAAACATACAAATTTATCAAGCTATGTGAAGCTTATTGTCAAATGAGACTTAACAAGATTTACATCTATGGGAAGTATACATGACGTGAGGACTTTGCCATGGAAAAGATAATATTTTATAAAATTTTATCTTGTTGGTGATTAATGCAAGTAGGGCATCAGATCTGGATCAAAAAGAAATTGCACTTCTCTGTTGATTTGTTCACATAAGGCTTTCACTTAAATGTGAAACATGTTTGATTCAGAACTTGCATAATAAAAAAAGATTCAATTTTTTCAATTTTGTTCCTTTCCCTGGAAAATTTCATTCCGACATCTTCAAAATGGGGGGGGCAGAAACAACAACAATACACATCAGCAACACTCCAAATACAAACTCATTAATTTTACATGTTTTGTGACACTGTTAACCAAATGTGCCCAAGGAGAAAAAATATCACCCAACAATTCTAATTTCAACCTGGCTGCTGATCCATGCAAGTTAGGACAATGAGGTATCAGTCCATAATAGTCCAGTCTAAACAGAACCCGTGCACTGACCTCCTCTGTCGCCCCTCTCACGACCGCGCGGGCGACCCTGTTGACCCATCTGGTGCTGCTGAGGCGCCAGGTCCCGTAATAGGGCCTTCTCTGCGGCCTCTTTCTCAGCCTCTTTGTGAATCTGGTCGATGGTCTTGGGGTTGGTCTCGTCTCTCCTTGGAACCCAGTTGCTCTGGAAGAGTGTGAGAGGAAAACTTTTTATTTATTGACATTCATAAGATACATGTAGTAATCTACATTTTCTCCCACACTCACACACCTTCTTCTATATATAAATATATATGCTGATATATACTTTTTCACTTGCATAATAGTATATGTACCATGTACCACATTTTTGTCCTCCTTTTAAGTATCATTTTCCTATGTAAAACTCAATTTCCTGTACTAAATTGGTTTTTCTTCTACACTGATTTTCATTGTTTATTGTGTTTGGATGTTTCTATTGGCAATGTGGGTTCCAGACAAATTACTCAAGTATGGACAAGCCAGTCAGGTGACCAAGGCACTGTGTTGCACAGACCATACATCTTGTCTCACGGCTAAAAATACTTGGTCTCCTTTGAAATGGGTTAACTGACTTTTAACCTATTTCACATTTCTTACTGCCATGTAATTACACTCAATCATTACGGTTATGATACTAATAAAGCAAATTTGAAGTGCATGGTTGACTTGATATCTTACAACCACTGAGTGTGCATTTGAACAATTTAAGAAAACACAATAGTAAAACCAATCACTTTTCCATTACCTTTACAGACACAAGCAACTGAACAGAGATATTTAAAGAAAAATATACAAAATCAACCAAGTTCTGACTGAAGGTTATCAGTAACTTTTGCCCACTGACCTGCCTCAGATCTATCACATCTTGGAGCATGAAGCGCACCCTGGAGGAAGTTTTCCTCTGCTGGACTATTTGGTTCATACGGTTGAAATACTGGTCAACTTTGGGCTGTAATCAGGGATAAGAGATAAAATTTAGTAATTTGCTGTTTCAACGTCCATACTTTTTAAATCATTCATTTATTTTGTCTCCTAATTCTTTAATCTTTTCGGTTTTGAACTGCTGATTTTGACAAAATATAAATTTATTGATAGCCTTACACACTGTAACAAAGATTAAAGAGGAGAAAGCTGATTACGAAAAACTCTCTCCCCAAATACATTCAACAATTTTTTAAAACTTAACCACAAAAATGCTGCAACCTTCCAAAATCTGAAATTCTCTTCATCCAAATCTCACCCAAAACAGCAGAGACATATAACTGATAAAGAACCCCATAAATTCTACCAATGTTTAACACTTTACTGTTACAACACAAAATTCTACAACTTCCTAGAAAAATAAGTCTTTTTGAGCTGGATATCCTCCAAAAGAGGGTTAAATAGTCAATGAAATCTGCAGAGACAACTCCCACCAGCCTCACCTTTGCCTTGGGGTGATCTATTAGTTTGCCTACGGTACTCATTAGTCTACATAAACATTCTATAGACTCCTCATCACCCGCCTTCAGCAGCTTAAATAGACAGTTGTGCATAATTGCCTCTGTGAGCATCTCTAGCTTGAATAATTCACCGATAAATCTGAAACAAAATGATGGCAAAGGTTGAGTGAACAGTCATCTTTTTCTCTATGGATTTTTAACATTACAATCCATTATAAGTCTATGAATTATTTATACAATTTTTATTCTGTATGTATCTGCCAACAGGGCTCATGCAATATATGTCATCAAAAGCTGAAGACGATGATACATATATAGCCACTCCTTCATACATTAGGTGTGTGTGTGTGTGTGTGTGTGTGTGTGTGTGTGTGAGTGAGTGAGTGGGGGGGCACTGGTGAACGGCACTAGACCTTTTCATCAAGAACTACCAGGGTGCAAATTTTATTGATAACCTACTTAATATTTCCCAGGGACCGCCTCCTAGCCTTCATCTCTTTTTCATCTATCTGCATCTGGATTAGTTTTTTCTTCTCCTCCTGAAAAAGTCAAATGACATGTTTTTAAAGAATGAAAATACAGATTTTACTTCTCCTCCTGAAAAAGTCAAATGACGTTTTTAAAGAATGAAAATACAGATTTTACTATCTTAATTGTATTAAAATCCAATGAAGTTAATTTGCCTGAATATAGTTTCTTGAATAGATGAAAAAGATCAATCTTAATCAGTTTTAAAGGAGTATTTTCACCAATAACTCCTCTAAGAGGTTAATTCAAAAGAAAATTAATATTTTGAGATGTCTTTTACCGTATCAGCCTCTTCGAGTTCTTTAAGCTTCTTTTGCTTCTCTGTCTCATTCTCCGTCTCATCTTCATTATTCTGCTCGAATTCTCTCTGGCACTTGTTGAGCAATAATTTCCTAAAGTTCACCTCTCTTCCTGTACCTGCCTCGTCTGGCACCTTGAGCTGAAAGTACACGGAGAGGTTATAAAACCCTCAATTCCAAGAAATTCTATACCACTTTTTCTAGTAACTTGGCTCTCGATTCCAAGAAAATCTATACCAATTTTCAGTAACTCTATCTTAAATGAAATAATTCAAAATGATCTTTAATTATGTGGGAACAAAGAATGGAAATTTGATCATAAGAAGCTTCATAAACGAGGAATTCACGTTTCAACACCTGTTGTTCTGACAGGGATAACTTTTTCTCATCATCAGCTTCAATACATTTCTACAAATGAAATAAAATTTTTTCCCTTACTTCTATAAGATATAAGAAATATGACCAAAACCAGTGACAGTTAGAATTCTTTAAGAAAACAGTCAACATACTCACACACACACACACACAAATGCTGTCTCATTTTCTTCTCTCTCTCTTTGTCATGCATACACACTATGCACACAGACAAACGCACACACACACATTGTCCCTTTTTTCTCTCTTATTTTTCATGCACTCTTTATACTCACCCTGGCCAAATGTTTACACATGTTTGCATAGGCAACGCTGAAGTTGGGCTCATCCACAGCCTGAAATATACCAAAATTAAAATCAGAACACCTGCTATCTTTAGTTCCTCCATATCATATCATATGCCATGAAAACATGGTGATATTTGGGCTCTGATCAAAATTTTTACAAACAATTAGATCCTCTATTTAGTCTTAAAAAATATCCTCCTGAAGAAGAGAAATAGTTTAGGGTTTAAATATCTTACCTTTTCATATATTAGGTCAATGAGACCCTTGAGTTTGGGTTCAGAGTCAATGGGGAGCTGCAGGATCTGCTCCATCAACACAGCAAACTTCTGGGGCGTTAACTTGTTAAGAATACCTCGTACACGCCTCAGTAAGTCCTGCAAAGAATAATTTTATGATAAGTATTGGAGACCCAACGTTTTGCATGGCTGTTAAAAGTGTGATACAGCAATTGAGGAGAGAAGATTCTAAATGGGTGACATTCAAATCAACATCCTAACATTTTATTACACGAAGCTTCATAAACGAGGAATTCATGTTTCAACACCTGTTGTTCTGACAGGGATAACTTTTTCTCATCATCAGCTTCAAATTTCTCATTGAGTAAGGTATCTCTACAATACAATGAGAACACACTTTGAAAGTCACAGAGCGGAGAAGATACAATCCATTTAACACACCATTATTTGTTCTTAAACTATTTTTGGTTAACCAACTTATCTTTAGCTTTTCCTATTTTTCCCTCCCTGTCCTATGAAAAAAAAAAAAAAAAAAAATTACTAACCTCCGTCTTGGCCTCCTCATCTTTCTCTTTGTTATTATCCTTTTTGGCAGGTTTCCAAGCATTCTCGGTGGGTTTGAGCTGAGCCTCTTGACTGATCTGCACACTGCGGATTATCTTAATCTCCTTTTGCGGCTTCTGCTGGCTACGACGGCCGCCACTCCCACCACCTCCACCCATTGGCTACAAAGAAAACGCAGGGAAATAAGAAATGCAGATGTGAATTGTATAAGTGACCTCCACCCTCCAAGTAGTATTTTTTTATGTCTCTGCAAGACATTTTAACAATTCTGTTCCCACCATTTCAGAAAGAGTCAGAACTATTATTCATTTAGTTTTCCTTTTAAATGAGATACTGTGGACTTACCAACATGTAGTTGACAAAACACACATCGTGTAGACTAAATCATGAACTAAGATCATTAAGGGAAACTTTCAACAATCAACAGTATTCCCCAAAGTTAAGCAAAAAGATTCTAATTCACTCAAAAGCCATCTCTCTACACTGGGTAATGAGGTTGCAAGAAAGCAGCTAACATGCTTATTTTTTAAGAAGCTTCATAAACGAGGAATTCATGTTTCAACACCTGTTGTTCTGACAGGGATAACTTTTTCTCATCATCAGCTTCCATTAGAGGCTACAAATCTTATAATCAAACCCCATCTCAAGAAGCAAAAACGAGAGAAAAAAAAAAGCACCCTGAATATCCAGGGTAAATTTCTAGACCAACTCACCCCGCCAGGACCCCTGGGAGAGACGGCAGACTTGACGAACCCAGGGGTGAAGTCCACCCCTCCACTGTGAGCACCGGAGTACAAGTTTCCCTTCATTGGGCGACTGTGAGGCTGAAAATACAACGTAACACACAGGTTACTCACAATTCACACTATTCATGCGCGCACGGCACACACACACACAAACACACACAGAGTGCAACTTCTCTTCACTAGGCAACTGTGTGGCTGGATATACATTACGAACAATTCACACCATACACACACACAGCGCAATTTCCTTTCATTGAGCAACTGTTAGGCTAGAAATACATCACACACAATTCACATCACATATATATATATATGTATATATATATACACACAAAGAGTCATTCCAATGGCGTGGCTTCAGTAGAAAGGTCACAGATATTAATATTGGATTAGCATTATAATGCACTTGTATCATGTTACATTGGAAGGACTTCCTCAAAATCCAAGATCTTCTTTATGTAAAAAAGTGCTTATACAATCAGTTATGACGTCAATATCTTGGTGAAATACAAGATGACTTATTGAAGAGGATTCAGACTATAAATATGTGACAGAAATAAAACTGTAAATGAAAATCCCTGACACGCTTTTGTTAGCTTCACATCTAAGATGATCTTGGGATTTTTTGGTGAACCCAATTTGTTCAATTTTTAGAAACTTCAAGATAAAAATAACTGGTAAGTCATGTTACTCTTTTGTATGAAATTTAATGATAAGATTACCCATTGTCCCAAAATTCAAAACTGGAAATGCTACAATTATTAAAAAAAATTTCACTTGTGTACTGAGTATCTTAGGGCTGCTCTCAGAAAAGTGGACTGACTAGTCCAAGGGTCAAATATGGCCGACCTACTTGAATACTTCTATTCAGTGTCTAGTAGCAGATTAGACATCAAGCTTTTCATATCTGACCAATGGACTAGTTAGTCCACAGTTCTGAATGTGGCCTAAACTTACCCGTTCTAATATCACATCAGGGAGTTTTGGTAGGCCTTCTGGCTTTGTCAGGGAGTCACTAGAAAACTGCATCTGCAGCAAAAACTCCCTGTCGTATTCCTTCTTCCCTTCTGGGTTCAGAGGGCTCCACTGGTCTGAAAATACAAGACAAGCCAATCTTCAATCCTCATCACTATATAGAGGAACTCATCTCCACAATTATTTTTTGAGAGTGTGTTAAGTAACTGACAATAATAATAATTCACAAATTCTAAATGCCTTAGTATATAAGTCAGAGAAACATTGGATGTAAAACTATTTCAATATTAAGCTGTAATATTAAATTACTTCATTCCAAACGCCTTGCTTTCAATATCTTGTATTTTCCAGATTAATCGTAATTCTTCAGACACTGGATGATACATTGAGATATAATACAAACTTCCTTTTTTAATGAATGAATGCTCATTTTTTCTTAGAAATACTGGCAAGACAGCTTTGCACAATATAATCAATCACATCACTTTGAATACTGCAAGCAAATTTCTATAATTGATGCTCAAATAATGTGCATCAAATTCATTTCCTCTTTTAAGGTTTGTCTCAAAGGTGATTCAAGTTGTCAGTCCTCCAGAGTATATTGCCATTCCCACAAGTGCCAAAAATTCTATAAAAAAATTCTGTAAATGTCTGCACTGAACCCCATATATACTGCCTACCTTCTTTATATTCATATTTGAGCTCTGGAGTGGGTGGAGCCTGATCCCCTTTCTGTTGACTCTCCAATGTTTTGGCACTATTTTTCTGGTTTTCCTCCGCCACATTATTTTCATTGTCTTTCTCAACCACCTCAATTTCCACCTGCCTCACCGAGGCTGGGTCACCTTTATCATCCGCTTTTGCATTGCTTTTTACAGAGTCTCCTTTTTCCTCGGGCTCCACATTTGCGACTTCTTTAGGCGATTCTGACGACCGCATCATTTCTGCAGGAAGTTGGAGGCCAGACAGCCCTTTTGTAGGCTGATCTGCCACCGTCGTCGTCGTCGTTCGCACCATTTCTGCGGGTAAACTGAGACCTTGAAGACCTTGTGATGCACTGGAGTCAGTTTTGACCATTTCTGCGGGTAAACTAATCCCCGACAGGGGAGGACCCTGTTTAGTTTCTGGTCTGGACTTGTGCTCTCCCTTCTGTTCCCCTGGGGGTGGTGGTTGTTTGTCTATATTGTTGACTACTGGAGTACTACTGGAGTTGTCATGGTCAGCTGAGGATTGCTGGGAAGTGGAGGCCTGAAACACAGGGGAGAAGACATGTTGACTGGTGCATGCTGGGAAAAGGCAGACATGTTGAATGATGTTTCAAGGGAAAAGTCTATTATGTTCTACCAATTATTTAACCAAAAGACTGACGTTTAATAATGTGGATGACTATTTTTTTGATGAAATCTGAGACAGGAATCTCTTTTCATCGACTATCTTTTTTAATGGGAACAAACAAATTGTATCTATTAAAACAGTAACATGTACAATCTCCATGAAAATATCCAACTGTAGATTTGCTATTTTATCCACTTTCTACAAAAATCTGTAACATAACTTCCTGGAGATATTACCACGATTGTAGGGACAACTGGTGTTTTTGGCTCACAAACTAAATACAAACAAAGTGATCTAATCTCCATGGGATTTTTGTGGTTTTCCTCACGACAGTTTCAAATTTCTTCACTTGTATTAAGTATGTGATAGGGGCATAGAAGACTAAATAAGGAGTTCCAAGTCTGGAATTTCGTTAACACTGAGGTGATACAGCATTGAGAAGCTTTTCAGGTGCAATTATTTTATATGAAAGCCTAATATCATTTCATATCAGTAACAACTTCAGACAAGATAGTCTGACTGGCTAAAAGTCAAATATCTTTTAAACGACTGCACAAACATATTCCTAAAGTCAAGTTAACCAAACAACGTTCATCAACAGAAAGTCACTTTCTCAGTGGAGGTCGCCACTGTCCCCCCAAGACAAGCCCCATCCCTACCTGATCCATGTCAGAGGCGTCCAGGTCAGTTCCTGGCCTGTCTTCTGCCTTCTGGCTCGGCTCTGGCTGTTTCTGCTTCCTGGTCAGGGACGCCTTCCGGCCTAGAAATGGATAATGTTCATGTATCACTGTACAACATTTATGATTTATGTTCATGAAGAAAAGGGTATCTACAGATACCTACATCATAATATAGTACTTATTTATTTCTTGATGACTGCACAGAAAGCCTTTGTGAAAACGAAAATGTGCACTGCAATAAGAAAACAAAAACCAATTCCTAAGAGGTACTTGAAAAAGTATTCCAAATACTTGTGCTAAAAGAATCTTTCTTTTTCACTTCAAGCATATTCTTAAGATATCTCATCTTCCTGTGGCAAAGTAAAAGTAATGCTACATGTGACTTCTTTTACAGCAAATGACGCAACCTCATGCTGGTGAAAGAAAAAGTATTAAATACCTAAAATGAAAACACTCCTTAAAATATAAAACTGTTAAAAAGAATAATAAAGCCTTCATAGGAGTACAAGATGACTTCATATAACTTCTCACCTAGGGTACGTTTTAAACAGGTATTCAAAATTCCAATACTAATAGGAATAATACCTCCATCCTTTCATGAGACAGGCACTTAAGATCATAACACAGATATCTCTAATGAAAATACCATCCATTACTTTTTGCATGGAACATCAAAAAGATGTACATTCTACAAAGAGAAGAGAAACCATATGCTGATGTATCCTAAGACCCAGTTAACCAAGTCTAAAGCCAGTTTTTGGGGCTTAAATATCAGCCTACGACGACTTAGCTGACTAAACTCTCTCTGATGTATCCCAAGACCCAGTTAACCAAGTCTAAAGCCAGTTTTTGGGGCTTAAATATCAGCCGACGAAGACTTAGCTGACTAAACTCTCTCTGATGTATCCCAAGACCCAGTTAACCAAGTCTAAAGCCAGTTTTGGGGGCTTAAATATCAGCCGACGAAGACTTAGCTGACTAAACTCTCTCTCTATGGTAAACGTATCCGATTTAGGTATGACAGATGTACTTATTGAACCAAGCATTAAAAATAAAATTAAAAAAGGGAAACTACAACCAACATCACACAGATAACTTTCCTTAGTCGTCTTTCTTATTTTAGCAGTCTAAAAGCTTACTTAGCCCAAAAACTTAATACACTAATAAGGCATTCTCCAAGCTACATCTTACCTTGGTGTGTGACATACCAGCAATGAACAGATATGCTAAACTTAAGTGCTATCTGCAATATTATCTGCCTAATTGTACCTTAATGCTTCTTAATGGGAAGTGAATGCCCAGGCTTGGCACACTGTGGGTCTTGATGAATATTCCACATAGTGCTCAATATTCACCTTACATTTATATAAGACATCAAGAGGTGACCTTTATACCAAATATCAAGCACTGGTTCACCTGTTTCCCCCTTCCATCTTTATCTAATTGTATCAAAGCAGTACTCTTTAGTATGAGGAGATGGGGCAACTTTCACATATTGCTGGTCAAGGTAAACTGACCACTGGTAATCAAAATCCTGGACTGCATTCCCAATATTGTGGACCAATAACATAAGACAACTGTCACATAAGTTTTGACCCAAGATACAAACACAGGTCTGATTTGGCCTGAAAAGCAAGTTAACTTTCTTTACTGCCTCTGCAATGAAAAGAATCCTGTAGCCTATCTACAAACCTCAATTTCCAACACCAATGATTTTTTTTCTTATTTTTTCCTACAGTAATTCTCTGTGCTGACATGACTAGAATATTAGGCTATTTACAAGTCACAGTAAAAGAATTTCTTTTCATCATCTCATACATTCTCCTCCACATATTTTCCTTATATCACCTATCCCTACACTCATCAGATTTCATTTGCATGTGTTCTCCCATAACAATACACACAGAATAGATAACCCAGTCGGCCAGTTTTCCTTATCTCTCTAGCTCTATGTATTTAAGTATCATCCTGAATACCTTTGTTCACTATCTTCACCACAGGTATGACTCACATATACTGGTACATACTTGTTTACACATGTGCTGGAACAATATACAACACATTCTCAATAACAGCCAATGTCACAATAAACTACATATCCAGGAACAATTTTTTTCTTTAAAAAATTCTAAAAAAAAAAAAAAAAAAAAAAAAAAAAAAAAAATGAATAGAATAGTTCTTTAATGTTATTTTGGGTTGCAGTTAAAATGTGATACATTTTTATTATCAAATGTTATGCAATTTCAAACAGAAAATGTTGGTTAAACATTGCCATAAACATCACACGGCCAGCTGATTAGACTAAATATCTCCCTTTTCGTTTCTTATCTTGAGATAACCTACATCTGTCATCACCATGTCTCGATGAGACAGAAAATTGCAGCCATCTTGGATATTATTAAACATAATCTGACCCCCCCTCCCCCATTTTGGTTTTAATTCACGTCTAAGGGTTTAATAAATTTTAAAAATCTTGGAAAATCCACATCTGCAGCCATGATTTACCATGAGTGAATTAATAACAGAGCAAACATTTTGTTTATCCTTCAATATCAGTCTGGTCTGCTCCAGTTTTAACATACCCCACTTTATCAAGATCAAGGTTAAAAAACACCTATATAACAGGATGTTATGACTATAGGCCCTTATCAAAACCAGTGAAAAACACAAACAGTTTCTGTGGAGAACCTAGGAGCAGTAGAACTTCCAGAGTCCTGTCGGCATCTCTTGGGGCACCTCATCACCTGAGAGCTTCCACCTAAATTTCTTGGCATTTTTTAATCTATTTTCCAGCAGCTAGCCTATGATAGCAAAACATTCAGTTAGAGTCCAGAAATAATCTTTGAGGTCATCTCCATACAGCCACTTTGACCAAAGGGTTGACCAATGATTCCCCCCCCCTCAAATTTCCTCTGAGTATACTCCCACACAGAAAGCAGTTCCATCTGTAATAACTGGAATACACACTAAAAACAACTCTTCATTTCCTTTTGTATTCCTTCCTTTGACATAATCAACAAATTACATGATCCAAGTTGTAAATCATCAGATTCCTCCTTTTTTTTAGTCGGCTAATGACACACTTGGCACCTATTTTACCTCTCTTCTTCCTTTTCCTTGGCAAACTTCAGCTGACACAAGCTGATATAGACATCTTGACATAACGAGTCCATAGACACATTTTTTGGGTATACTTCACATATTAGTAAAACCAAAATACTCCCCACTCAGCCATGAGTCTTTAAGTATCTGTAATCACATATGGTTTCAGTAAACAGACCTGTTGACCCATTTTCTCTGGGAGAAAAAAACAGCTTTTATTTTCTACAGCATAAAGAACCTCTTTTTTCCTTTCACTTCAGGTTCAAAACAATCCTCCCGAGTTCAAACCCTAGTATAAAGCCTGCTACAAAGCCTTTCAATACCTTTCTTCTTACATTCCTTGCAAGGTATTTCCAGCAGTTACCTGTGGTTTTCCGCTACCTCTCCCTTCTCATCTTCTCCATCTCTTCAAGGGCTTTGAATCACCAAGAACCACAAGGAGAAAAACTTAACATGGAAAAAGAAAAAAAATAAAACACGCTGGAATAAACCTTCTAAGCCTGTCCTCACGTACCCTTGCTTTTGCTTTTCCTCTTGCCACGATTCATTTCCGTAACTTAATCCTCCTTCACTGGAGTCCAGCACAAACACAGTAGCTGCAATGTAGATGTTGTTAACACACTGCCAGACAGCTCCCAAACTCGATACCACACAGACAGGGCTGTGGAACCATGTCATGGGAAAATCACACTGGTTGTGGTGGTCTTGGTGGTGGCCGTCCCCCTCAGTCCCTGGGCTGGGGCAATACGTCCTGCCCAGAGTTAGTACATACCTCCACCTCTTCTATACACAAGACTCCCTGGTTACATTAACAAGTATAGGTGCAGAGAAAGAGAACCAGAGAGGCTACAGTAGGTGTAGGCTGCCGATTTGCTGCACTGCTATCTCCAAACCCAGCATATTTTTAGCCTGACACTCTCTGATCTCTATTTAGGGCAAGAGAGAGCTCACTACAGCCACAGAGCTGTGTTACGCAATCCTCTTCACAGGGCACCACTGACAGCAGTTCAGACAGACAACATGGTGGATCTGGATGGACGTGTTAGTCATCCATGGCCCAGGGCCCTGTGATGATGTACTTGGCCCCAGTTTACAGTCGCAGGTGGGGACGGCATGTGTTGAAAATGGCTAATTAATCAGCAGGCGCATCCATCCTCTCACCCTAACATAACAACACCTCAAATGTCATCTTGCTTGGATTATACAGTCAGACTCATGTCTGGATCAGTCACGGAAAATATTTAACATCTCATTTTATTTCCCATACAACACGACTTCACAAAATGGTTCTCCTCACTCACTCTTTCTTCTAAATGTTTTCTTCTCTAGTGAATAGAATACTGGGAGAGATAGAGAAAGTGGAAAAGGCGTGAGATTTTCACCTGTTCCACTTTTCATATATGGAAGCATACCTACTTCCAGGCAATGCTCCTACAATATCAGTTGGGGGCACCCGAGGGGGAAATTGAATTATCTAATGACCAGCTTCCTATGTGAACAGGTGCTGTGGAAGTGCCCTTCCTCCCCTGGGGCACCTCGGCAGAACCACCGCCAGAGAGAAAAAATACCTGGGGAACAGTTCTAATTACACCTGTAGGAGAGTTTAAATTTACCAGTAGCCTCTCCCCAAAAAATCTGCGTCCACACTCTCTCACCTGCCTTGTCTATGAAGGATTGAACACATGAGAATTGTATCAGCTGATTCAGTTCAACATGATGGACATGGAAACCATTATAATTTATTCTGGATACTAACTCGGTTACACTGTACATCTCAATCATTCTTCCGCTTAACCTAGTAATCGTCAGTCAAATACAGTTAATACCCTACTTTTCTCTGTGACACAGATTACGCTCTATCTTGTCATTATTACACTACATGCTTCAATCCCTGTAACTCAGTAACACTGCATGTCCTTGTCTACTTAAATCTCATAAATGCATAATTTCCTTCCACACAGAGATAAACCACATTACAGTTTATCCTGGTTGTATTACATGACATGCTTCACTCTCTGTTAACAGCCTGTAATCGCTTGTGAAAAGCAATATGCTTCATAAATATCCCATCATGGAGGTTGATCCTGCTTAATGGAGATGTTATCACGAGTTTGTCAGTCTGGATATAGATTCTATTATACTGGCTATACTCTCCATTCTGTATACTAAATGACATGTTATAAAACAATTGCTGCCTTGTTCAATGACCGTCAAGTAAAGCAGATTATATTAACCTCTTAATTCCGTATGAACAGCACAGACTACTACCATTCTAAGGTCAGCAGTTGAAAAGGAAATTTCAGAAATTATTTAGTTTATTTTCTAGCCCTTAAAGAATAGCCCAATGATCCAATATGACAAAATTCCTCGGAATTCCACACCATTATTTAAGAAATATTCCTCTCAAGGTCAATATTCTACGAAAGGACAATATCAAACAGAAAGTCAAGATCTCACATTAGGTCAACGGACACATGGGTGCATTACACACCTCACTAAAAGCCATATGGTAACACCCAAAACTTATCACCTGGGGAAACTACTAAAACAGAACCAAAAGGTCAACATATGGGATAAGGTCAACATGTGTCAAGGTCAACATGCCAAACACCGTGACCTACTTGAGTTGTGAGAGAGCTGCTCTGCTCCTACTGACCTGCTCCTACTCCAGTACTCCATGTGGCAGGCATAGCAGCTGGGCCACGCTGTAAGGAGATCACTGTTAGTCAACACTGCACTGTAGGTCAACACCCCACTGTAGGTCAACAACACACTATACTAGCCCAAGTCACCTTGTAAGTCTTGGTAATACTGAGAGGATTGTGTCCGAGCTCCTACTCAATGAACTAAGAAGTTTGCAGCAGCCACATGTGCAGTGTCCTTTCCTCCAAGCTGCAGTGGCAGATAAACTGTTGTCAGCTATGGGTCCTGTTACAGCAGCTTTCCAGTCACCTTGGAGTAGTACTCTCAAAACCGAGGGTGTAATATGAGTCCATATGGCGAGGCAGTCACCTGTGGTCACACATGGAATCCTTCCAGCCTGTTATACAACTCAGTAGGTCAGTGTGCCACAGCAATGTCCACTATCCTACAGTGCCTCTGTGATCTATGATACTGCGTCCTTGGAGAGAATATTAATCCTCAGAGAGAACCCTGCCCATGTGGCACTGAGAGACAGCTGGTCACACACACAGGACACTATCTCCCTAACGAAGTTCTCCCGCCACCAGTGGAAAGTCAGCTTGACCGCTGGTCAGAGACAACAACAGGGTGGGGTCAGTCAAGCCACTTGATAGTCTCAGGTCAGCAAAGCCAGGTATGTGTGGACACAGGTCAGCTGGTATGGGGGACTGGACATACAGGTGTCTTACGGCCAGAATCGGGTGTTCCTACACAGAGCACACAGCTGTCCTACTATACTAACTAATACCTGGTCATCATCATCATCACTGCAAATACCACAGATGTAGTATATATGAATAATGTATTCCACAGAGAACAGGTGCCTCTCTTTCTTCACTGGGGCCCTGGCAGTCAGGCGACCCAGGCATGCAATCTGTCACGCATGGAAGCAATATGGAGAGAACTGGTCTTGTGAAAAAGTAGGTCATAGACTGAAATCTACGTGCACTGCTCGCTTATAACATTTCAGCTCCAACATTTCCATGTGCCACAGGCTGAGGTTATAAGTAAAGTAAAGTAATAAGAACCTTTCTTTTTTTTATTTTTTGAATTTTGGAGACTAGCTCACTTGATAAATGAAGCAGCTTAAAGGAAATAGCTGAATAATGCTGACAAGGTTTTTATGTAATTTTTGGCCATGGAAAACCAGGTGTTGGTTTCATCTTTTATCATTACAACAATAAGTCTAACAGTGATAAAGGCATACTTAGGCCAATTTTGGGACATACATTCTTTAAACCCCCTTTACATTGGACGGCGTCCTTTCTGCGTCCAGCAGTACGGCCCCATTTGAGAGTTAAAGAAGTATAATACTTTACGTGCCGACAACTGGCAGATCATTGAGCATTCATTCTGATACAAAATCAATGCTCATGCCTCCTTATTAAGACCACAGCGATGCCAAATTTCATGGTCGCAGAAAGGACGCAGAAGGGACGCCGCCCAGTGTAAAGGGGGCTTTAGTAAAATGGGTCTCAGACAGGCCACTTCTTGAGCAATATATTTCTTAACTGGCTAATGCATTAGCCACATGACACACCACGTTTTTAGAGTCCCAACAGGTTGAACAACCAAATTTATCTATTGTTGGCTCAAACAATTCCACTTATGTCCCCCGTCAGTGGTGCATAGAACCTATGGGAAATCTGAACACATCAACTAAGGCTTCGTTCACATGCAATGTCTATTTTCTAAATTGTATTTTCTATTTGCGGTATGTCTTATGATCACGGATGCAATGTCTATTTTCTAAATTCTATTTTCTATTTGCGGTATGTCTTATGATCACGGTCTGTGGCCTGTATATTCCGCGGCGTAATTACTGGCAGCGCGAGCCAGTTACTATGTTACTATAAGTAACTGGCTCGCGCTGCCAGTAATTACGCGGCGGGATATTCAGGGCACAGACCGTGATCATAAGATAGCGCAAATAGAAAATAGAAATTAGAAAATAGACATTGCATGTGAACGAAGCCTAAGTTAATGCCTATCCATGAACATGAGTCATATCACTTTACAATTTCAACAGAAAATCAACAACGACCATTAATAAAATATTCCAAACAAGTGCACCAACAGAACTGTCTTAAGTCTGACTCAATAGTCCAGGTGGATTGTATCAAAATCTGCTTTTCCCACTTTATATCCCTGAACTGAATTATAACTGACACATTTGGCCAGAGAATGGAAACTCACAAAAGTGAGAAAAACATTCCACCATGATACAGTGAATGTTGAGATGGAATGGGACTAAAACCATGAGTACTGCCACACTGACTCAGAATGACAATCATAAAATGTAAAATCAACTGTTTGCCAGTAATGACCAAACAAACACTTATCTACATGTTTCTGTACATAATTCCACAAAATTATAAATAATAAAACAAACTTTTTCAACTGTCAAGAATCCTAGTAAATATTCATACCATTATCATCAGCAGTAACAATACAAACATTGAAACACCACATCTTTATCAACAGTAACAAGTAAAGATTGAAAAAGATATTAAAATTTGTTTTAAAGGTGGCAGCACATATATGGGTACAAAGAAACTCTTCCCAATCTATCTGTTCAAATAAGGAATGTGTCATTTATGTTTTTCAATTGTGACTAATTTCATTTCCCAACACAAAGTCATGTTAGTAAAACCTTTAAAAATATTTTGGAAAACCGAGCATAATCAATTTTTTTTTTTTTCTTTCAGTAGAGGTATAAAATGATAAGACTTAAAAACCACAAGCTGAAATATGTAAAACATGCCAGAACACAACATAATAAATGCAGATGCGCACACATATAAAATTTACCAACCTTCATCCGGAACAACTGCTGGTACTGGAGTCTCTTGGACAGCAGTTACTGGTTCCTTGACAACAGATGCAATTTCTTCCCTTTTCACGGCTGGTGCCGCAGCAGGTGCACCTTTACTTGGGGCAGCACCATCAACTGTGCTTTCACCACTAACCGCACTACTATCTCTAGTCCTTTCATCGCCCTCTACAGGGGCACTAGTCCTTTCTGTGCTCAATGGCACATCAACCTCTGTGGCGCTAGACACAGAGACTTCCGCCGTCTTAACCTCACTGGCTCTTTGAGCAGCAGCCACCTCCTTAGTGTCTTTAACGTCTGAGCTAGCTGCAGTGGGGACTGTGACCTGCTGTGGAGACGTTGTGGTCTCCTGAGGCACGTCCTTCTCTTGGAGTGTGTCATCTTCCTCTGGGTTTGTTCCACCTTCGGCGGTGGTGGTGGTGGTGGCCACCGTGGGCTGCTGCACTGCGTCCTCTTGTTTGGTAGGGTCCTCTGGTTCTGCCGTTGCCATGCCAACGTGGTCTGGGTGCCTGGGAACAGGGTGCTGCATGCCGGGCTTTAACGTGGCGGCCACCTGTGCCGCAAACTGGGCTGCAATCTCGTTCTGATTGAGGCCTGCTGGAGGCGGTGTACTCTGGAAGGAATTATGGGAAAAATATTAAATAAATTCTGATGACTTTTAAATGTTTTCCCCCTGCTCCCCCCCCCCCTCATTTTTTTCGATGAAAAAAATCAGTCAATCAGAGATAGAACATAGTCTCCACTGAAAATTCAGAAGAACGAAAGTCTGAAATTATCTCATCATTTGACTGGTTTCCCATTCCTCATGCCTTACATGATCATTTCACTTTTGCAGAAAAAGTATACACAAAAAAGACAGCTTGCATTTTTTTTTTTCAATGTTAATTTTTCAAAGACCTTGTTAACAGGGCATAATCTCAAACCAGGTCTCTCTGTTCAAACATAACAGGATGGGCCCATTTCTTGGGTCACTTCATAGTCCAATTTTTGTAATTTTTGGCACCAAGGACAGAAACGATTACAATATCTTTCTCAATTGTACATGTCCAGTAAAAAGACTCATAATTCGGAAACTTCTGAACCCCCCTGTACTTACTGAACTAGTTGGTGTGTCCCCCCTGTGTCTACTGAACTAGTTGTTATGTCCCCCCTGTACTTACTGAACTAGTTGTTATGTCCCCCCTGTACTTACTGAACTAGTTGGTGTGTCCCTGGCACTAGAGCTGTCAGACAGCGGAGGTGTGCCTGATTTCTGAGCGCCGCTGATGTGTGTGATGTCCTCCGTGATGTCCTTGCCCGTGTTCGGGTTCACGATCTGGATGATCCGCTTTTCCCGCTTCTGATACGTTTGCTGCGGAGTCATGGCGGCTGAGGGTTGAGAGGGCGGCCGCGCTGGTTGCTGTAGTGTCATCTGTTGAGGGTTGGAGGGAGGGTAATACACTGGAATAGAAGTATATACAGGGAACTGATAAGAGACCTAATTTACGGTAAAACATGCTCCTTTTATTTTTATGTATAGAAGTTCAATATATATTTTATGATTTTAAAGTCTTTCATAAATACTGGTGATTCCTGTGATATTTTAGTGTCAGGCAAACATCAGCTTCATTCTTTGAGTGCTTTCAGAACAGATGATCTGCAGAATAATCGTTTCTTCGACTAAATATGGCCAGCCCCACTTAAAAGCGCTGCCACTAATTCCTAACTGGTCTCCCCGCCTCCAAACCTCAGGGGTCTAGCAATTAAAACTCGGGGTCGAGATTTAATCCATTCAAGTGAGTATGTGTAGGTGAGGACACCATCAGGAAATCAGCAACATTGCTTTGAAGTGGGTCACCCATATTTAATCCACGGATCTGTATGTTGGTGGATCAACATGTTCTGAACGCGCTCATTGTGAAAGATGGTCAAGGATCAAAGACTAACTCAGCTAGTCAACAGTGTCGACTTACTGGTAACACAACCATACAGTATCACAGTGCTAAATACACTTTAGTTCACCAGCCTTGTAGTCTCCTGGTCTTTCAATATGCTGTTATATTATTAATATTATCATCATCATGAACTCACAAGTGGGTGTAGGTTGTCGTATCTGTGTTTTCTGGAAGAAAGGCGCTGTGGTGGTCTGTGCTGAGCTGTACTCTGACGTGGGCGTGGGCTGACTGGTTTGTCCCGTCTGATAATACGGCTGGGTCGCCACAAACTGACCCTGTTGAGACGTGGTGATGTACTGGGGCCTGATGCCTTGAGGGGCTTGATACTGAAAGTGAAAGTGAAAGTAGGAGCTTGTTAGACTAAAATTTCAACTGACCCTTAAGTATTAATGGTTCGCGCAGCAAACTTCTACCTCAACTCAACAGTTAACTTAACTGGCCAACAATTAAAAAAAAAAAAAAATTCAATATCTGGACTTTCAATGTCTGTTAGATGGTTACCAGGACAATGATGCATTCTCCACACTCCCCAAAGTCATACAATTCATCTGTTAACAGACACTAAGGCAAGAGGAGGATTTACACAAAAGTAACAACTGAAGTACATGTTTGAACATTTTCATAAAATGAACCCCACACAATGACAGAAATGTCCCCCCCCCCCTCCCTTTTTTTTTACTTTCTTAAAAATGCCAGTGTCAAGGCACACAGATCTATACTAGGGTTGAGGTGGCCAAAACTCAAAACTAAAATACCAAGATTTCCACATAAATCCAGCACATTTTCACAATCTTTCATCTTTTGTGGACCCTCACCTGGATGACCATGGGCTGTGGCTGTGGGATATAGGTGCCCTGGCCGGGCTGCTGCATATACATCTGGGGCATGGTGTTGTACGGGTACTGCTGGTTAGGACTAGTGCCGTACTGCGCCTGCATCTGGCGCGTCGCCTGCCCCTGGTTGGGCATGCGCTGAGACATCGTGGGCTGCGGGCTTCGGAAAAACGGCTGTGGAGAGAACGAGAAAACATGGAAGTGTGAGTGAAGTGGTATGATTTTGTACATTTTGATCTCTCTCTCTCAAGTTCACAAGGCTAACATTAATAACAAATAGAGATACTACATTTAAGATGCCAATAAAAGTTTTGTTTTCTGTTAAATACTGCTGAACGCTATCCTGGTTCAAAGATCAAACATTTTTAGAGCACATATAATGCCCCTAAACAATGAGCTGAACACTGCATTCATTTTCTTCCTATATTTCTATCATCTCAAATTGATGCTTTGGTGGTGTAATAATACCAAAATCTTTCAAGATATTTTAAGATCATCTTGATGGCATACAGAACATAATTAAAAGCTGCATGAAATTTTTCATTCATTACCTTTCTACGTGTTGAACCTTATGAACTTTATCCTGCATTAATAATAATGAGTTGTATACAGAGAGCAAAAATATAATCACCCCACATTATACTTTTGAAAATTTATCAGCACTATTTTATATATATATATATATCGTACAAAGTTAATTTTC